TCGTATACCCTTAGTCTGAGGTCAATGTGTCGAGTTTTGGGGTTAGACCCAAATTTCTTGAGTTTGTCGTCCAGTCCTTTATTGTCAATGTAGTGAGTATTAGCAAGTTTCTCCTTGAAGTCTTCGTCATTCATCATGAGTCTTTCGTTAAGTTCTTGATCATCGATGTAGTGTGTGGCTGCGTCGAGTTGGATGTTCCAGATGTCGGAAAGAAGAGCTTTCAACCAGGTACCTTCATGAAATGAGTCAACAAGAGGATTGAGTTCTGCTTCAGTAGAGGAGTATGTAACGTTGTGTTGTCTGCAGCTGTTCCACGATATGAGAGCTCCAAAGAGATAGCACAAGTAACCTGATTGAGAGGTTCTATTTATTGGATCGTCTCCCCATGAAGCGTCGCTGTATATCTCGAGGAGTTGGTTGGGTTCCCTGATTTCTAGAGTGAGTTTTAAATCCCTAGTATGTCGAATATATTGCCAGACCTTTTTGACTTCGTGCCAATGAGTCATTCCTGGTTTGGTTGAAAATCTAGCCAAGCTTGAGACGGCAAAACTGATATCGGGTCGAGTATAGCCCGCTATGTAGTTCATGAGTCCAATGGCTGACCGATAATTGATATTTTCCTTCTTGAAGAGGGCGTGATCTTCATCGGTGGCTTCTTTGAGTTTGAGGTTAGGTGTCAAGGGAGTCATAGAGGGCTTGCAGTTCAACAGGCCAAGTTCTTCCAGACCGTGTTCGATGTGCTTAGGTTGAGAGAGGAGAATCTTATTCCCAAGTCTTTCGAATTTCATTCCTAGGATGGTGTTTGGGTCATGGCACGAAGAATTGGAAAATCTTTTTTCGAATTTTTCCTTGAAGTTGTTTCCGGAGCCCACTAGAATTAGATCGTCGACATGGAAGTACAACCTGGAGATTTTATCATCGCAGAGATACAAACATGGATCACAATTTGATTCCTGGAAGCCGATCGATTCGAGCCATGCTGTGAGAGTCTCGTACCAGTTCTTTGGAGCTTGTTTGAGTCCGTAAAGTGACTTCTTGAGTTTAAGGAATGGTGCGTTTCGGTTCACTCCTTTTGGAGTCTTGATGTATACATCTTCTGAGAGTGGTGCATGTAGAAAGGCTCCTTGGACATCGAATTGTGTAACTGACAAGTTTTGGTGGAGTGAATAGAGTAGAATCATGCGCAATGTTGATACTTTACCGGTTGGAGCAAAAGTTCCTTCGTGGTCTGTGCCTTCAATTTGCTCAAAACCCTGGACACACAATCTAGCTTTATGTTTTAATGGATCGCCATGGCAGTTGTCCTTGATTTTGAATACCCAAGTGGTGTCGAGGGGGTTTGGAGGTTCAGTGTAGTGATTGTCCAATACTTCATGGTTTTCGATTGAAGAAACTTCTTTCTCGATTGCTGATCTCCAGAACTTTTCATCGGCACATCGTATGGCTGATTCGAAGGTGTTGGGTTCGTAATAGTGGTGAAATCCAAAGCGGACTGGAGGTTTGAGAGTTGATCTGTCACATAGGGATCTGTTGATCGTGGCTTCGGACTGTTGCGGTGTTTCTTGTTGAGGCTTGAGTAAATCCAAAATTTGATTTTCTGAGTCCGACGAGTCATCTGATCTCCCGTCGTCTTCTTGTCGTATCCCTTCCTGACTCGCAGGCTCGGAATTCTCATTTGAACTTGAGTCTTCTTCGCGGTGTGGTTTTTCAGGAGTTTTCGACTGAGTGTTGGGAGAGATTTGAAGAATATCCTCGCAAGGACCATCAGAGTCGGTTGCACCGGATTCGAACTGATTTGATTTGAGGAAGCGAACATGTTTTGATTCAACAACCGAGCCAGATTGAGTGATGACACGATAGGATTGAAGAGGAACATTGAAACCCACAAGGATACCTTCCTGTCCTTTCTCCTCGAACTTCCTTCCTTTGTTCCTATTCATGTTGAGGATGACTGAGGTTGTTCCGAGAGGTTTCAGGAATGATGCGGGGAAGGGGTGTCCGTGCATGATTTCCCATGGAGATTGATTGGATCCTTTTCGAGGGATTTGATTGAGGGCTAAGCAGCAGGACTTCACTACCTCGTGCCAGTAGTTCTTGCTTATCCTGGAGCTTCTGAACGTTGCTCTCATTGATTCGACAATTGTACGATTGGCTTGTTCAGCTCTACCATTGTGTTCCGGATGATACGGTTCGGAAATCAGTCTATGAACATGATTTTCCTCCAAGTACTTGACTAACCTATTCCCAGTGAATTCTCCTCCACCATCTGAGCAGATCTGGGTCGGCGAATAGCCGAGTCTCTTTTTTTCTTTTTCAAGAAGATCGATCAGAACGTCGGTTGAGTCGTCTTTCTTGGCAATTGGAAAACCAGCGAGGTAGCCGGAGTAGTTGTCGACTAAGGTGAGGATGAAACGGGACTGGATTCTTGACGTTGGGGTGATCGGCCCAATGATGTCGAGGTGAATTCTTTCAAAGACCTTTGACGCTGGATGTGACTCTTCCTTGAAGGGTTGTTTGGTGATTTTGGACAAGACACACGCTTTGCATTCAAAGTTGTCTTGTTCAGACTTGGATATCGAATCTGGAATGAATTCCTTGATCCTCTGGATTGATGCATGACCAAATTTTTCATGTATGTCCTTCAAGGATTCAGAAGAGGATGTGAAATGAGCTGAGTAGTCGACCGATTGACCAACTGATTCAGGATTATCGACGCTGAATAGATTGTTTACAATCTTTCCTTTGAAAAGCTTTTGGTTCTCTTTAGAAACTGAGAAACTGCCTGAGTTCGCAGAGAGGTTGCATCCCTTTTCGACTAAAGCTCCAGCACTGATGAGATTAACCACAATGTCAGGCACAAACAAGCAGTTTTCTAACGAGATAGTCAGCTGTCCCCATTTGAGTGTGACGTTTCCCGTAAAGATGAAAACCAACATTGATTGAGCAGATCATTTGTGGAGAAGCACAGGCGATGAGAAGAGAATGGAAGAGTAACAATTGGACAGAACTGATAGGCAGGAGTCAGTCGAGAAGAAGCTGATATGAGAGAAGGAATAAGACAAATCTCACCAGGCAGAGAATAAGAGAAGACAAGAATCAAGGGTGAATGGATTGAATGAAGAAAAGAATAGAGGAAGGAATATAAGGGAAATTGAGAAGGATGGAGTGAGTCGAGGAGCTGAAGAGTGATCCAGATGGAAGTGTTGAGGTTGAAGAATGAGAGTCGGGAGAGAAAGGAGGATTGAGAATGTCTTTGGGTAGTAGACCTGTGACATGTCTGTGATTTTTTGAGGCATCTTGAAAAAAAAGTGCCAGAAAATTGATCTATTTTCCACCATCCAAATTTCTTTTTTTCCTTGGGGCGAAATCAGTATTGTTTGTGGTGTTAGTCCATATAACTATCATAAATCTTCCTTAAGTTGATTTTCTAACTCATACCGATTCCCAAGCAAATTACTGCCATCTTCCTGCCAAGCAATCTACCAAAAATTCCATACATAACAAGTAAAAAGTCAGTGTAAATATTGATCCAATTCCTGGTTTAATCAAAGTTAAAAGGGGGCCCTAATTGACCAATTTGACCCTCTCAGAAACTACGTACATGTCCAGCATTGAGATCCGTCAGAAGTGCAGTGGGTCTTGAGCAGTTGCTCCAGCCAATCTGGTCTTGAAGTCCAAACTGAAGAAAATAAGGCCGAGAGGCCAAGAAAAATACTTTTTGGGATTCTGGCAGAAGGGCTTAAGTGCTCTCTACAAAGACTGATGAAGGGCTAAAGTGCTTCTTTCAGGAACGGGTTTAAAAAGCTAAAGAACCAATGATTTTATTTCTAACAATTCTAGAGGTTCTTAAGTATTCTAGGTACAAAATGATCAGGTTG